TTTTTTTTAAGAATTTAAAACCGTATTGTCAGTTAAGACTAAAGGCCCAGACTGCTGTGGAAAGCCTCTGTTGGCTCCATCTTACCTACATCTCATTTTCTCTTTAACAATTTCTTCACTTAAACTGACTCCTCCCCAAAACTAGCTCCCCTCACTCTATATCTTCCTCCTATTTGCACATCACCTCTTATCAATTTACCCACACATATACCAGGTGTATTACCAAATTCATTTATCGAATTATAATCTACATCCTTTTCATCCCATTACCCACCAACTCCCTGCTCCAGTCAATGGAATACTCAGTTCCACCTTTTCATTAAACCAAATCTTGACCTCTTCCTAAAGGCGAAGAATAAGACCCTTTCTTTATGAAGACTCTCATAACTAACGCTAGTCTTTCCAGAATCCCTATGGCCTTCATTCTGGCTACAAAATCTAGTACTTGATTTTTGCTCCAATTATAAATGTACAGGTTTTACATAGTCCAGTTCTCTGCCATTGCAATTTGAGATTTAAAACTTAGTGGTTGGCTGATTAACCAAATAACTCAATAAGTGAGAATAAAACATTTCTCTCCAAACTTCTTGTCCAAATCTCTTGGTAAGGATAGGGTACAGTGCAATTGGGAACAAGAATACCCAGATATAATTCAGATGGTCCCCCACCTGCAAAAGTTCAAGCGCTGACGTCCGAGCCTTCTTCTCCAACTCAGAAATCAGGTTCCCAAGCCGGGTGACTTCCTCGGCACCCTTGGAAACATGGCTGTTCCTTTCTTCAGTAAGATCTTGCTCTAACCCCTCCAGCCACGCCAGCAGGTACTGTTCCCGTTCTCTCAAGCACTTATGGCTCTGTTCAAACACTGACCCAATGTCTTGTCTGTAGCTCTGGAATTTTGTCTATAGGAAATGCAGAGCGAGAAAGATGATTTCATCTGAGAAACTAGGAAACATCAAAACGTGTGAGATCTTCTGAGGATAAATTCAGAACACAGATGCCTTCCATCACCCTCCACTCCCTTCTTCCTTGACTCCTTGACGTATGCATGTACACAGAATATTCACGAAGGACTTCACTTACCAGGAGTGCCCGAATCTTATATTCTCTTGCAGACTGGAAATTCTGAATCCGGTCCCTGTCTCCCTTCAGCACCTTCAGGTGGTTTAGAACTTTACTCTGGAAAAAAGCATGGATAACCTCAAGATCAGGATACAAACAGTCTCAATAGAAAAATGTGACCTTAGCGTGTAATCAAAAAGCCTTGGCCCTTGTCAAGTGCAGTGGAGATGATTCTGACTCGTGTTAGTGTAGGTAAGTGCCTTCTTGGTTAGCTCCCACTCACAGTGACACTATGGACAAGAGGACCCAACCCCCCTGGTCCTTCCCCATCCTCACAATTATTCTTAAAGTGGAGCCCACTGTTGCAGTCACTGTTTCAATCCATCTCATGGAGGCCCTTCCTTTTTTTTTTTTTTTGCCGCCCCACCACTTCATCAAGCATGATGTCCTTCTCCAGGGATTGGTATCTCCTGACAGAATGTCCGGAGTTTATGAGACAATGTCTCTTCATCCTTCTCTCCAAGGAGCATTCTGGCTATACTTCTTCCAAGACAGAAAAAAAATCTGTTTGTTCTTTTGGCAGTCCTGGTACGTTCAATATTCTTCTCCAACACCATAGTTCACACGCATCGATTTTTCTTTGGCCTTCTTTATTCGATGTCCAACTTTCACATGCATGTGCAACAAATGAAAAAACCATGGCTTAGGTCAGGTGTCCCCCAGTCTTCAATGTAACATCCTTACTTTTCAACACTTTAAAAAGACACGTACAGGAAGTGGAAGTACTGTGTCGGCCAGCTGTCAACTTCCTGTTGCTAAACGGGGGTTGGGGGGCTGCCTACTGTGTGTGCAATTGTGTGGGGTGACCTGGGGCAGCCCGGAGTGGCGGAGCCTCTGCTTGTGGGGACGGGAGTCACGAGGTGGCCACCATGGTGATGTCAGAAAGCCAGCTCAAGAAATGGTGTCCAAATAAGCTGTATGTGAAACTGTCAGTGTTATTACTCTATACAAAGATCTCAAATTCGAAACGATGTACAAATGCGCTTTACACAATTGATGTGTGTATGGATTGGGATAACAGTTGTATGAGCCCCTAATAAAATGTTAAAAAACAAAAAACAAAGATCTCAAATTCATATGTATTTAATGATGGCAGTTCGAGGGAGTTAATGAACCTCACTGGAACAATTCCTGTGCCTTATAGAGGTAATAAATACAACATTCCAATGTGGCTATGGCTACTGGACACACATCCACATAATCCTCCTATCTGTTTTGTTAAGCTTACTAGTGACTATTAAAATAGTCAATGACTATTAAAACAGGAAAGCATGTTGATGTAAAATGGGAAAAATATATCTTCCTTATCTACATGAATGGAAACATCCACAGTTAGGCTTATTGGGACTCATGCAGGTCACGATTGTGGTGTTTGGAGAGGAGCCTCCAGTCTTCTCTCGTCCTATTGTCTCAACATCCTATCCACTGTAGCAGGCGACAGGGCCACCAAATACTTCCTACATGCCAGGCATGCCAAGTGGAGTCTCTGCAGACCTGTCTGGATACCCTCCCAATCTCAGTGGTTACCCAGGTTGCCCTTACCCACCTGGTGGTCAGTATGCTGCCACACAAGTTCCCAGTACCCCTTCTCAGCCTCCTGTGACCACTGTTGGTCCCAGTAGGGGTGGCACAATCAGTGAGGACACCATGCGAGCATCCCGAGCCTGTGGTCAATGACAAGCTGAGATGTTGAATGGAGGAGGAAATGGACCGGGCCCTGGCAGAGCTCAACGCCTTGAAGCAAACAGAGGCAGACCTGAAAAAAGGCCAGGAGAAACTAGACGAAATGGTTAAGCATTTAGACCAAAAAGCAGCTGAAGTTGATAAAAACATAGAACTTTTGAAAAAGAAGGATGAAGAACTCAGCTCTGCCCTGGAAGAAATGGAAAATCAGGCTGAAAACAAGGATACTGATGAAGTTATCATCCCACAGCCTCACTCTACAAACAGATCTTGAATTTGTACGCAGACGAAAACGCGATTGAAGACACCATTTTTTGCATGGGAGAAGCCTTGCGGCAGGGAGTGGTAGACCTGGCTGTCTTCCAGAAGCATGTGCGTCTCTGTCCTGTAAATCGTTGCAGCTGAGGGCACTAATGCAGAAAGCAAGGAAGACTGCCAGGCTCAGTGACCTCTACTGACTTCTCCGGGATCAGTGAGAGATTCTTTTCTTCTTTGCCTTTCTTTTATCAGTGGGTACCCAGACTAAGTTACTGCAGGACATTATTCAAGTATAAAATATCTTGAATCAATATTTTGTTTCCTTAAAAAAGACTGGCTTTTATTAATGCACTTTCTAGTCTCTGTAAACTCTTTTTGTGCTGAATGTTGAGACTAAACTAAATAAAACTTATTGCATAAAAAAAAAAGGTCGTGTGCAGCAGGATTTACCTAATACGACACATCTTTTAATTCCTTGACTTCTGCTTCCGTGACCATTGATTACGGATCTAACCAAGGCAAAACCCTTGACAACTTCAGCCTTTTCTCCTTTTATCATGCTACCTATTGGTTCAGTTGTGAGGATTTTGGTTTTCTTTGCATTGAGTTGTTATCCACACTTAAGGCTGCAAAACTTGATCTTCATCAGCAAGTGCTTCAAATCCTCCTCACTTTCAGCAAGCAAGGTTGTGTCATCTGCACATCACAAATTGTTAATAAGCCTTCTTCCAATCCTGATGCCACATTCCTCTTTATACAATTCAGGTTCTCTGATTATCTGGTCAGCATCCAGGTCAAATAAGTATGGTGAGCGACTACAACCGTCACCTTTCCTGATTTTAAACCAGGTAGTAGTCCCCTCTTCTATTGCCACACACAGTCTCTTGATCCATGTACACATTCTGACTGAACACAATGAAGTGTTTTCAAATTCCCATTCTTCTCAAGGCTATCAATAATTTGTTATGACCCATATAGTCAAATGTCTTGGCATAGTTAATAAAACACAAGTAAACATCTTTCTAGTATTCTCTGCTTTCAGCCAAGATCTATCTAACATCAGCAATGATATCCCTTGTTCCACATCATCTTCTGAATCTGCCTGAACCTCTAGCAGCTCCCTGTCAATGTACTGTTGCAACCATTGTTGGATAATCTTCAGCAAAATTTCACTTGCATGTGATATTACTGATATTCTTTTACAGTTTGCATATTCTGTTGGGTCTCCTTTCTACGGAATGGATACAAATACAGATATCTTCCAGATAGTTAGTTGGTCATGTACCTTCTTTCCAAGTTTCCTGGTATAAACAAGTGAATGTTTCCAGTGCTTCATCGGTTTGCTGAAACATTTCAATTGGTATTCCATCAGATCTGGGGCCGTTTTGGGCTAATGTTTTCAGTGCATCTTGGATTTATTCCTTCAACACCATTGTTTCTTGCTCATATGCAACCTCTCGAAATAGCTGGATATTGACTAGTTATTTTTAGTACAGTGACTGTATTATTTCCATCTTCTTCTGATGCTTCCTTCATTGTTCAATATTTTGTCCATAGAATCTTTCACTATTGCAACTAGCAGCTTGGATATTTTTCTTGAGTTCTTTCCGTCTAAGATATGCCAAGTGTGCATTTCCTTTTTCTTTTTCTAAGTTTTGCATATTTCATTATAACAATGTACCACGTTTTCTCGAGCTGCCCTTTGAAAAGGTCTGTTCAGCTCTTTGACTTCATCTTAATGATCTTTTGCTTTCTTCATGTATGATATTCTTGATGTCATCCCATAGCTTATCAGTTCTTCTGTCACTACTGCTTACTGCATAGGGACTCTGTATAACAGAGCTGCCCTGTGTGGTTTTGATCACATAATCTTTGCAGGAGCAGATTGCCAGTTTTCCTCCCATGGAGCTGAAGGGTGGAGTTAGGCATTTACCCACAGCACTGCCAGGGCTGCTTTGGCTCTACATAGGATAGTAATAACCACATGGCAGTTTCCATTCTACATAATGGTAAAGAAATACAGTGAGTGCTATGTTGGTGTGATAAGGTTTTTTTTTTGTCAATGTGGGAAGGTGTGGGTAGATCCAACCTCTCAGTCAGGGCATAGTCTAATGACATCTCCTCGGAGGGGTCGCCTGCCAATAAGAGATAATGTGGAGATCTGGTCTCTCTCTTCCTACCAATAAGAGATGATGTGGAGATCTGGTCTCTCTCTTCCTACCAATAAGAGATGATGTGGAGATCTAATCTCTCTCTTCCTACCAATAAGAGATGATGTGGAGATCTAATCTCTCTCTTCCTACCAATAAGAGATGATGTGGAGATCTGGTCTCTCTCTTCCTACCAATAAGAGATGATGTGG